GCTGGTGCTGTGTCGTGGAGGTCTACACGGTCGTCGTCTGTGGCTACTTCCAGTGCAGAGGCAGAGATCTACGCTGGTGCCATGGCGGCACAGGAGCTTCGCTGGTTGACCTTCTTGCTCGCCGACCTTGGTGAGCGGCCCCGCTCTGCACCGACCTTGTACGCTGACAACAAGGCCATGATCCTCCTGTGTCGAGAGCCTCGACTGGAGAGCAGAGTGAAGCATATTGACGTGAGGTACTTCCTCCTGCGAGAGTTGCAGCGACGCGGTCAGGCACGTTTGGACTTTGTGGCCTCACAGGCCAACACTGCCGACGTCTTCACCAAGGCCTTGGCGCCTGGTGACCACCACAGGTTCTGTGTGCAGTTGGGGCTTGTTGAGGTAGGCCCTCGGTTGCTGTAGACTTGCTGTTTGCTCTACTTGTTGTGCTTCTATATATACTAGTAAACTCTTGAACTGGCCTTGTGGCCACTTGCTTGTGCTCGGAGTGTGTGGTGACTCTGAGCGCCACCCTGAGCTTTGTTTTTTTATGCTTGTTCTTGACTGGTCTTGTGACCCCTTGTTTCCGTTGGTTGTTTTGATGCCCCTCACTTAGCCTATGGGGGTGTGTCAAATGTTTATATATTCTATATATTGTTAGATAGGCTACTGTGAGTTGCCCTCTAAAGGGTACAACACTTTAGGTCGACATTTGTATCTCCTTGTCCCTCCTTACTCAAACAATTACTCTCGACACTTGTCTCCTAGCCTATCTTAAGAGGTATATGCTGTTTTTAGATGTCACAAAGTGATTGAGACACAAGTGTCCCCGCAGGAATCAGGGCTGACTATTCAAAAAAATCCAGTCTGATGTTCTGGGGGCTCTGAAAATTTTTAGTCTGAGGCATATTTCCCAGAGAATGGCCACTCTGATTTTTCAGGTTCCGCAAAAACACAAGTCTGAAGTACTCAGAACACACTACAACCACTGCAGTACAGTACTGCCACAAATGTAGCACGTGGGGCGCAACGCTAACCAATTTCCCTCGCTGACACCGCGTAGCTGCAGTGATGGTCCCGCGTGAGTGGAAGAGTGAGTCAAGTTGGCAGATTTCTAAGGGAAAAGGGTGGCAAAAGTTGCCAAGGACAGATTCTGCGCGTGACAGCGCCATGAAGTGTGTTCGTACACTGGCAACATATGACGTAGCGGAATGTACGTAGAAATCACAGATCCGCATTTCAGGATCCGTACTCCCTGTAGTATGAAGACCCATTATCGGCTAAGTCAGTACTCTGAAAATCTCAGGATCCAAAACCAAGTAAGTCTGAGGCACTCATGTTTGAAAATCTTACAAGTCTGAAAAATCAGGATCCGTAGGAAAATACCCTGAGATTTCAGACAATCAGACTATTTTAGTCTGATAAAGTCAGCCCTGGCAGGAATGTACCCTTACTCCAACTGTAATGAAGCACGTTGCCTTTGCCCAACTGTAATGAAGCACGTTGCCTTTGCAAGAACAGAAAGCAAGCTTTCTCAATTCAGCCATTTTATGCCATTTTACACTAAAAATCTATTGAAATTTCCTGTTTCTTTTCAACAAATTGCTGAAATTTCAGGCTCAGCTCTAAAAAATGTCTGAAATCTCAGCCTTTTTTACCACCTAAATCAGCCTTTTTTCGCTGACTTCTGAGGGCGTGGCAGGAACCAGTCACTTCAAAATATTAGACGAGCAGGCACAACCGGATACAATGTCTGTCCACTTGCTGAGGCTAATCTTTGTCTGAAAGTTATCATATTGTGACGGGCACTCAAACTTACTCCTCTCCTGTTCTTGTTCCAAGAACCGAGATGTCCTCGTACCGCTTCTGCACAGGAACAGAACGGGAAGGAAAGTGAGGGAGGCAACATGTCAAAAAGAGTGAACAAGGGAGCATAGTGAGGACAGTGAGGAAAGTACCGTAATAAACATGAACATCCATACGGTATCAAAGTCTATCTCTACAGAATAAGGACCAATGTATCTCTTGGATCAGAACTTACCCCCTTGTTGTATGAGTCCCAGAGCTGATCAAAGGTGTAGTTGACCGCCTGGTGAGAGAGCAGCATGGAAGGAGAAGACAAGAGCGAGGAGGCAAATGAAGTTTAAGTAATCGACACACGCGTCACCCTTGGCATCATCAGAACAGAGCTCGCTGACCTTTAACAGCTCTATATCGCCAGCACGAGGGTGCAATTGCGGCGGGCCTGTGTTTCACCTTGGCCAGCTATGCCAGGCTCCTATACGACAGCACTTACTGCACGAGGAAGAATCTGACAGCACCGCACGACACTACATGTTACGCCTTATGCAAGGCTACAAGCACGAGGAAGAATCTGACAGCACCGCACGACGCTACATGTTACGCCTTATGCAAGGCTATCTGAGAAGAGCCGTAATAAGGCTACCTGATAAACGCGTAGCGTGGACTGGGTGCTTCTATCTTAGAACCGGCTAGCGAAAGGAGAGTGAGAACAAGCTGTCGAAACGGGGTAACTGAAGTGACTCAGAGATGATCCCAGGCATCGGCGAACATTTTGAATTCATTACCATCCTGAACACGTTCCTGGTCCAAATGCATCGCCGCCGGCTAAACACTCTCCGCTTCATCAACGCTGGGAACCTCATACGACGCACAGTTGAAGCCAAGAAGGTAGTCAAACCTAACCGTACTCAGATCTATCGTTCGATTGATCGAGAGACCCAGGGAATGTCGAGTGAAACGAACTGCGGGGCCCGTGAGCGACGGCGACTCACCCGCTCTCCGGCAAGCGCGCCGACGAAGATGAAGCCAATGTACACCGAGTTACGCTTCATGACCGTGCGGTAAAGCACGTCCGCGAGCCCCATGGTCGCTGGCTTAAAAGTCCTACGAAAGACTAACGGAAATTCGGAAGTCCAATGGATCAGGAAGTCGAACGCGTGAGGGTGGTGCAGCGTGGAGCCGACGGAGGCTAAGCCCACCTGGCAGACGGACAGCTGAGCTAGATGAGCGGTTTGCGGCGTGGCGGGTTGGGTTGGGACTGCAGAAGTAAGGAGGTAGGTTGAAATATTAGGACGCGGGGTAGGGGTGACGGGAGGGGGAGAGTGGCGGAAAGCTCTGTGGAGGAAGTGCGGAGAGTCGCGGATATACGCGGACACGGAGCGGAAAAAGGGGGAGTGAGGAAAGGGGGAAGCGGGGAAGCGAATGGATGGAACGGGGACACCGAAGGCGCGGAGCTTTGCGGCCAATAGCAGCATCTAAAAATGCATGAACTAATATAATCTGATTCCGTAGCTTATACGATATTGCAATCAATTGCCTTATTAGTTCCGAAGTCCCCGGTTTATGTGTTAGGCTTACTAAGCATCATGTAAAACGTATCGTTTGTAGACAACCAACGTTACATTGAGCATACAATCATTCCTTCCTTTCTCTTCCTCCACCTTCACTTTTCATTCATAGCTTGGAAGAACTGCCTTCCCTGCGCAAGACAGACATGCCCCAACCCAAGCTCCGAGCGTCTCCTAACCCAAAGAGATCACTGGAAACCCTTCCATTCCAACAGCCTGGCCTCCACAACCCCTCTTCCTTGTGTCTTGCCAAGGTATTTCCAATCCTGAGGCCAGGCATCCCAGAATACATATGCTATGCCCTTTTTCAAATAGTTTTCAATGAGAAGAGCATTTTGCCTCTGAGAGCACCAGACACGCATCAATCAGTGTTCCAATCTCCTGCGCCCCTCTGTGTAAAGCATACTCTCCATCATCTCAGGGCATTCTGCATCGGCATCTGTATCCGCGCATGCGCCTGAGATGGTGTCTGTGTCTGTGTCTGCATCTGCGTGTCTGTGTCCGTGTCTGTACCTGCGCCTGTGCCTGTCTCAGCGCATTCAGAGGCCCTGGAGAGCACCGGCTACGCCAGTCAGGCTGCGATTCCCTCCACCCCCACGCCCCAGCGTCTGATAGGATGTACTTGCACGCACCGCACTGCACCGCACTGCACACAGGCCTCTTTTGGATATCGCCCCTTCTTCACTCATCCGCTCTCCCCTCTTCCCCTCAAGAGGTCCTCTCTTCCCGCTCCCTCCTCCCTTCACCATCCACCCTCCCTCCCCCTTCCCCCTTCTTTTCCCCCTCCTCCGCGTCCCGCGAAAGCACCGGCCGCGCGAGCCACGCGGCAATCCTGTTCCCCCGCACGCCGCGGTGCCGGCCGTAGCACTCCCAGAACGCCGCGTGCTTGGCGCGGCACTCCTCCGACTGGCCCCAGATGAGCGCCAGCGACGACTGGTTGCGCATGCACGCCAGCAGCGCCAAGTGCTCGTCCGCGCACGCCGCCATCGCCGATTCCTTCTTCGTCGGATCGTAAATCAACGGTGCGGATTCCTTTTCGCGGCGTCGATTGGCATTGGTACGGGAAGATCCATTTTCGTCGTTTTCGAGGGCTTCCTGGTTGTTCCGTGAGCGATCGGAGCCGATGGGTTGAGCTGGATAGTCTTCGTGAAGGTTTGTGGTGTCGTTAGCTGGCAGCCGTTGCGATGCCATTGTTCGACAGGCTCCGTCGAGCTATAAGTGGTCGAAATCAAGGTACTCGTCAAAATTCGAAACCCACAAAAACTCAAGAGATGCGCTCCTGCGCAATGCTGCGCGATTCTGCGGGATTTTGCGCGATTGCGCGACGCTCCTACGATGTTCTGTCCCTTGATCCAGACGGCGGACAAGACCACTAATAGTGGTGGGGGGAGGTATGGTAGAAGGTTGTAAGAGAACAATCGCGGTACAGACTGCTCGTGTAATAGCGTTTAGCAACAGAAGAACTTCTCAGAACATCAAGTGCTGTGAGCAGGATCTACGGAGAAGCCTCCAACACACCCCATAACGTTCAAAATAGAACCAACGCTATATATGTATGTTACAGGTGTTCACAAAGATTACTAAGAACCATGACTTATTTGTCGTCCATATGTACCGTAGTCGTCAGCAGAGCTGCACACCTTTCTTGTCTCAAGCCTCCTCCGATTCCTCAACAAGACTCAGCATGGGGCCATCAGGAGCCCTTAGAGCAGCTACCTGCACACAACACACACATAAACACAACACACACATAACAAACAATTTTGTTCTCTTCTCTTACGATGTGAAAATGGGACACCAAGCTCAGCCCTCATGAATTCCCAATGCAGTGGATAGTCATAGATAGAGCACAACATGATGTAGTTTTAGATCGTGCAAGACTCACTCGGCCTTGTGGCATGTGCACCACAGCACCGTCCATTACCGCTCCCAACCGTAGCATCCGCAGGAGAGTGGAATCAAACTCCCCTTCTCCATGCACAGAAAAGGAGAGCAGGGGTGAGAAGCTGTGAGATGTGTGTGCTGTGCTGAAAGGGAGGGGGCAAGAAAGGCACGGGAGGAAAGGGAGGAAAGGGAGGAAACGGGGGAATGATGATTGAGGCATCTCAAGCATCAAGATAGTGGAAACACGTTTCTCCTCTCCACACACAGAGAAGGAAAGAATGGGAGAGAAGCCGTGAGATGTGTGTGCTGTGCTGAAAGGGAAGGGGAAAGAGCGAGACGGGAAGAAAAGGAGGAAATGAAAGAGCGGTTATTGAAGGGCCGATTCCACATTTCTCTCACCCACCCAATTCCCTTTCCCCCAAAACCCCCATCTCCTGTCACATTGCAGCGGGGACTACTTCCCTTCCCTCCCGTTCCCCTCCCTCGTCCCATCGCTTCCCCCCACATCCTCCCATCCTCTCTATCCTCTTCCCCCATCACCCCCTCCCTTCTCTCCGCAACCTGTCGCATTGCTGCAGTGCGATCCGCGTGGGAGTTTATTCCCCCTTTTTCCATCTTTCTCTCACCCCATCCTCCCACATCCTTTCCCCACCTTCCCCCCCAACCCTCCGGCACCTGTCGCATTGTTGCAGCACAATCCGCTTGGGCCTTCTTCCCTTCACTCCCGCCCTTCCTATTCCCCCCTATTCCCCCCTCCTCCCTCACTCCCCATTCCCCGATTCCCCAACCCTCCGCCACCTGTCGCATTGCTGCAGCGCGATCCGCGTGGGTCCCGCCTGCACCTCCGCCCATCGCTCCGTGCACACCAGAACGGGCAGTCCCAACCCCTCCTTGAAAAAATTAGTTGCCCGCGGCACGTCCCGCTGCAGTAGAAGCACGTGTCGCAGTGCCGCTGCTGCCGCTGATCCTGCCCGCCCTGATTGCGCCATGCTGCCAGGAGAGGGTTCCTGGCGAGTTTAAGGGAGTTAGGGTTACCGGGTCATTTTGACAAATCGCCTGAGATTCCTACGAGCTCGCTTAGGGTTGCCACCCCAATACAGTCTCCAAAAGGTTCGACTCAATCTGGAGATTAATTTTCCTGCGGCTTTATTTGGCCAGCAGCTTCAGCAGAATGCGCGCGGAATTCGTAAGTTCCGAGGGACGATTGTGGGAGGAGTATATTTGACTCTTGTGTGATGCCTACAGTCAGATTGCATGCTTCGCTTTGCACTTACTGTTCGTGTACAGATGTTCTGGCTTAGAGTATCTTCCTGAGATAGTCCACTTTTCCCATCGAGAAGATATTTCACATAAGTCCTAGGTGTAGCCCCTTCTCTACAGTCCCATTTTTGGCGGGAAATTTTGCAGCTTGACTGAGTCATTGCACGAATCAGTCCGAAGCCAATCAGAGGACCCAAATCGACCAGCCCCAGCATTCACGAAAAATAATAAAGAAGGAAGTTTTGATTTTATATTTACATTCACAGTTGTTATTGTTTGTTTCTCTTGACCGCGTTTGCTTCAAAATCCTGTCGCACGGTCCCTAGCGCGCTCGACGATGACATCTCATTAATATCGTTTTCGAAATAAAACAGAAATTATGTCGTCTTCTTCAGGCCTCAAACAAAATTGATTTTGTATTTTTCTGCCCGTAAGTTATGCGACATTGGTCAACGCGGAGAACCGTGCAACGAGAAGTTGAAGCAAGCGCGGTCCGAATGTACGTATATGACAAGAAAAAACAACTACTAGCGAAGAAAACCCGCTTTTCATGCAATTTTTCTGAATTTGGGACTATAAGTTCCCGTTTGCCCGTGTTTTGTAAGTTTTGCCACTTAGTCCGCACGCGGCCTGTCTTTCCGTCGGACTATAAACGAGAACATTTGAACTAGTTGCGACTCCGATACGGTTGATTGGAATTTTGTGACAGCTTGGAAAATGCCCTGGCAGCCGAGTTTGGAGAGCCAGTAGGTCTGCCTCGGCATCAGGTTCGGTTCAAGTGTCATGACATTACGAGAACCAGTAGGTGTGCCTCTTTCCATCAATGACATCACGAGAACCAGCGTTTTTGAAATTGGTTCGCGAGAAACCGAACGGAAACAGGTTCGGAATTTTTAGGTTTGGGAGAAACCAGTGAATTTCACGAGTTGATCCACCTATGTCCAAAGAACTACCATGGTCAGACTCCTCAAGTTCCTAACCGCGTCATCTGGCACGGCATTGACTTCAACTTCTTTTTGTTGCGCGCACGCACATTGTACCTGTAAGGCAGCAATTCCGGACAATTCGGGTGGACGCTGCTTTCCAGCGCCGATGGCGGAGGAGCTGGCGCCATTGGACGAGACGCTATCCCCCACAGACGACGGATTTCATGCGCATGCGTTAGGCGGCTCGGTTTTCAGCGGCTCGGACGCGGAAGCGCCGGAGTTGGGATCGTTAAATGTGTCACGGGGACGAGCCGCGGAGCGATCGTCGCGGGGAGGCGGCGCGGGAGGAGCGAAGCGGTTCGGACGGGGCGGGATGGTGATGGCAGTGATCATGCGCTTATTGGCCATAAACAAGCGGATTTTAATCCCCGTGGCGCTCGCGTCGCTCGCTTCGATGCTGATGGGATACGGTATGCCAGCTAGGGTCGTTATTCCATGGGGGGGCAATGCAAATGCACGTGCACGGCATTGGTTGCAACTGGGATCAAATCATTGGTATATTTGATCTCCTTCCGACGATTTTCTCTTCATTTCCTTCCAATAATCTGCGCAGAGCCGATTTCTACCCAGAGTCGCTCAGATGTATCATGTAACCCTGTCTGTCCTCCCTTACTCCTTCGCTTGTCAGCCGATTCTCAAACTTAAGCATTTCTCTCTAAGGCTCTCCTCTTTTTCTACCTCCTATCCTCCCTCGTTCCCCACCCCCCCTTCCCCCCCACCACCGTGTTGGGCAGACATAGGCGTGACTAGCGGTGCAGTGCTGATTGTGCAGCGAACCTACCACCTCAGCATTGCGGATAAGGTGAGTGCGCCACCTGCCAGTCACTGCCACGTCACCTGTTGCGACCACGTCAGCAAGGCAGATAAGGTGATACACGTTGACAGTGCCACCACGCTCGGTTCGAGGCACCGTTCCCCAGGTTCCAGGCAAATCAGCACCCCAGATTTACACAGACTCTTCAGCCGTCGCCCCCGCTTCCTCCTCCTCGTCCTCCTCCTCCTCGTCCTCCTCCTCCTCCTCCTCCTCCTCCTCCTCCTCCTCCTCCTCCTCCTCCTCCTCCTCCTCCTCCTCCTCCTCCTCCTCCCCCTCCGCTGTTAGAAAGGTCCAAAACTGCTCCACCTTCTTTGTTTCAAGTTGTCTTGACTCTCCTCCTGCTGTATCGGTCCTCTCGTCATCACTCCCCACCCCCTCTACCCCTCCCAAAACGCCCCTCCCTCACTCAGCAGCGCTCTCAGCCCTCCTCTTCGTTGCTTTCCTCTTTCTAACCCCCCCACTTTCCCTGCCGTGACCCACCTCTCCCTGCGTGACCCACCTCTCCCTGCGTGACCCACCTCTCCCTGCGTGACCCACCTCTCCCTGCTTGACCCACCCCTCCCTCACTCAGGAGCTTTTCATCGGTTCCTTCAGCTTCGCTGCAGCCATCTCAGCCCTCCTCTCCGGCCCTCTCGCTGACTCCTTCGGCCGCCGCCCCCTCCTCCTCCTCTCCTCCCTCCTCTCCTCCATCGGCTTCCTCACCATGGCCCTTTCTCACACCTTCCCCACCCTCCTCTTCACCCGCATCCTCACCGGTTTCGGGGTTGGCATCGGGTTGACTGTCGGCCCTCTCTATTGTGTCGAGCTGGCCCCAGCCGATTCCCGCGGCTCTCTCTCTGCTCTCAGCGAGCTTCTCTCTTCCCTCGGGCTGCTCCTCGGGTATTTAATCTCCTTTCTCCTCTCGCCGTCCCCTAAGTACGATCCGACGCTGGCTGTCGCTGCTGCCGCCGCCGCCGCTGCTACTGATCCTACTGCTGCCACTGCTGCCACCGCAGCTGCTGCAGCGGCGGCAGCAGCAGCGGAGAGCGCGTTTTCGCCGCACAACTGGCGGCTAATGCTGCTGTTTGGAGTGGTGCCCGCAGCAGGGTTGGGTCTCGGGGTGTTGTGGCTGGGTGTGCCGGAATCCCCGCGGTGGCTGGTGCTGGTGGGGAGGGTGAGAGAGGCTGCAGAGGTGCTGCTAGTGCTGGAGGAAGGGAGAGAGGTTGAGACCGCTGCGTTGCTTGAGGATATGACTGCCGCCGCTGCTGCTGCTGCTGCTGCGTCTGCCGCTGCGTCTGCCGCTGGTGCTGGTGGTGGTGGTGGGAGTGATGATGCAGAAGCAGCAGCGTTGCTTGGAGGGCACGGGGAGACAGCTTCAGCAGCAGGAGGCGCAGGAAGCGGAGGAGGAGGAGCAGTGGGGGTAGGGGCAGCAGGGGGGATGGCAGGTCTGCACTCTCTCACACTCACCGCCCCAGCAGGAGCACAATTCTGGAAGGGACCACCCGGGGGAAACTTATCTGGGGGCGGTGGAGGGGTGGGTTTGCGGAAGGGGGGGATGTTGGGGGGAGGGAAGGGCAGGGGGGTGGGCGTGGGGGTGTGGAGGGAGCTGGTGCATCCGAATGAGGCGGTGAAGCAGATGCTCATGCTGGCCGTGGGGGCAGCGTTCTACCAGCAGGTAAGCATTCCAAAAGTTGTCCCTCGTCTCACACGGTCGCACCTGGATTGGCTGTTTCGGCTTGTTCTTTCTTGCTTCACCTCACCTCCTCTCCTCTGCTCCCAAAATCTCTCTCCGTCCCCCCACACAGTGATTCACCCACCACCAGGCCACAGGCGTCCCCTCTATGCTCTACTACACCCCTGAGCTCCTCGCCACCATGGGGCTCACCTCCTCTGACACCCTCCCCTCTGCTTCTCTCTATCCTTCTCCCCATAAATTCACTCAACAGGCCACAGGCGTCCCCACCATGCTCTACTATACTTCCGAGCTCTTCGCCACAATGGGGCTCACCTCCTCTGCTTCGCTTCCCCCTGCCTTCCTCCCTCCCCTCTAACGCAAGCAAACATTCATCTTCCACCCCTCCTCCTCCCTACACACAAAACACCAGGCCACAGGCGCCCCCACAATGCTCTACTACACCCCCGAGCTCTTTGCCACAATGGACCTCACCTCCTCTACCGCCTCTCTTCCATTGTTTCACTCTCTCCCTCGTTCCCTTGCCCAATCTCTCCCACCAACCACCACCAGGCCACAGGCGTCCCCACAATGCTCTACTACACCCCCGAGCTCTTCGCCACCATGGGGCTCACCTCTTCAGCCGCCATTCTCTCTGCCTCTTCCCTTCTCCTTGCACGTTGACTCTACTACCACCAGGCCACAGGCGTTCCCACAATGCTCTACTACACCCCCGAGCTCTTTGCAACGATGGGCCTCACCTCCTCTGCTGCTATCCTCTCTGCCAGCCTCGCGGTGGCCCTCGCTCGCACGCTCGCTTCCCTTGTGCCCTTGTCTATTCTGGACGAGATTGGAAGACGGACACTGCTGCTCATCAGCACAGCAGGTGAGGCACCCGAGTCAGCACAGCAGGTGAGGCACCCGAGTCAGCACAGCAGGTGAGGCATCCGAGTCAGCACAGCAGGTGGGTTTCAGCTGTCACTTGTTTCCTCTCTGCTAGCCTTGCGGTGACCCTCGCTCGCACATTCACCTCCCTCGTGCCCCTCTCTGTATTGGATGAGATTGGAAGAAGGACACTGCTTCTCATCACCACAGCAGGCTCATTTCGTTGTATGAACCTATCACTCCCCTCTCACCTCTCTTTCCTTCCCTCCCTCTCCCTCCCAGGCATGACCATCGCCCTGCTAGCTCAAGCTATAGTCCTCCACACAATGAACCTCGGCGGAGAGTTTGACATCTCTTCAGAAAACCCCTCCTCCTCGTCCCCGCTCACTCCTCTCGTCTCCCGCCCATTCCAATCCAACGCTGCTGCTCTCTCCGTGATTGCCGCAGCCAATCTAACCGTGTTCTTCGCGATAGGCCTCTCGCCCATCTCCACTCTCCTCCCTCCGGAGATTTTCCCACTTCGGTTACGGGCCCAAGGGACCGGCCTTGCTGTGGCAGTCAGCAGGCTGGTTGCTGCGGCTCTTTCCTCATCTTTTCTGAGCCTTGTTGATGCGACCAGCCCGGGGTTTCCGTTCTTTGTGTTTGCGGTGCTGTCAGCAGCTGCGGTTCCGTTTCTGCATTCGTGTATGAGGGAGACGAGAGGGGTGAAGCTTGAAGGGGCTTCGGCGCTATTTGAGCCGAGTTTGGGGGGCGGAGTGGGGAGAGGAGGGGGGGTGTGGGGGGGAGGAGGGGTGGGAGGGGCAGCAGGGGCGGGAGAGGAGGGTGCTGTGATGGATGGGCATGGGAGAGCGATTGGTAGGAGGGCTAGGAATGTGGGAGGAGGAGATAGGGCTTCGACCAGTTGACTTGATACCCTTCCATTGTAGCTGCAGATTTTCCTAACGGCAGGGGCTATTCTGTGACTGCTTACGTGTACTCTCGTCTCAGGGTCACCTCATGCCACATTGCAATGGGTGTGGTGTGGTGGCTGTGGCTTCAATGAGGTTTAACAGGCTCGCCATAAGTAGGATGCGAGGTGTGTCTGATAAGGTGCCATCTAAATATGCCGGTGGCATTCATAAGTTATTGTTAACAATCCAACTGCCATGCTACAATGAAAGTTCCTTGTGTGATTATGTAGGGACAACTGCAACAGAAGTGACTACACTACAATTAGCTTTATCTCAACTATGGTATCTTCTTTCGTCTTGACTGGTCCCCCGTGTCCACAAATCTTGCATTCATTGTACCTCAAATTTATAGATCTTGGGGAATCCCGCGTTGCTATTTGAAGGAACAGCGCACATCGATGCATTGGATTGCGCGGTTCGATGTCAAATCTGCCGCGCTCCGATGTCAAATCTACAGAGAACGGTTCGTATCTGTGCACCATCAGCGCACCGCCACTACGAACAAATTGGTTGACTTACCAGTTTACCCTTTCTTCTCACATTTCGATTTCACCCCACAATTACAGGGGCAGATTGGTGGGAGCCGAGGCTGCCTGAATTTGACGAATCCACGCAAACGCTCGACTTTTCCCTCGTGGAAGGAACACTTGTAATCCAATAATTTCGCAAGGACGCTTCCCCTTCGCTTCTCTTTGAAGGGTCAGGCGCGTGTCAGATCGCACCACTTGTGCGTCAGCTGGATTATCCATCCACATCTCGCACTTGGTGATAAATTTGGAAGCGCCTCGTGGATTACTGTACAGTAATCGAGGGACCGTCCGGTCAGATGTATGAAAACGCAAGCTCCCTCCCTCTCTCCTCATCCTTCCTTCACCTCCCTCCTAAGATCCCATTCCATCCCATTTTCCACTCACGACTGGACTCTCAAATCACACCACACGACCAACTTTGAGGAACAGAAACTCCAATGTTGAGTCCGAAATCACTGTCGTCTCGTCGACTGACACCATGCCTGCCTAGCCCTCCGTTTTCCGAGCTCGACTGCCATGCCATCAATGCAAGCTGCCTGCCATGCAGAGCATCAAAGTCAAGTCACTCTGGCGTCCACTGCACCGCGATACAAAAGCGCAGACTGGCAGCAGCTCGGCTCAACCATCCCTCGAAGACATCCTTTGCGTGACTTGCACTGCACTCGAGCACACCCAGCCAGCCAGCCCTCGGTCTACGCACGTTGCGTACCGTCCGTCCTTGGATGACTTTATTTATGTGATTTAATGAACCAGTGGGAGACGCCGTCCTTTCTCAGACTCCGGCATCGGATGCCGCTCTGCTCCCGCCGCGTTACTACGATGATTCGTTGAGAGGCCCCCGAGTCCCGCTCACACGACCAATGTACGGTGCATCGTGCGTCGTATCGGGTGTTTCGAAGTATCGACTCAAATAACACCCGACCCGTAGTCCTCGCTCCCGACTTTCATGCCGCTTTGATGCTTGATTAGAAGCAGATATCTCGTCAGGACTACGTGCTCCACCCTCATCGTCTCACTCCGTTCTTATTGGCACCTCTCCGTGACAATTCCGCCTGCATCTCCTCGCGTCGACGTTTCGAAAGTCGTTACTAAGTCGCAAGTCGCTAATTCTAACCAATTATTGGTAGAAGATCGTGTTTGCGGGAACAGCCGTGACGCCTCACTGCGGCTTCTTTCTGATCCTTCCCAAAACAAACGCTCGCCGGCATCTTCTCGTCGTCGTTCCGAGCGTCGCTCCTAGCCTCTCTAAGTCGCCGCTTGATTTCCCGTCCGAATCAAAAGGACTCCGGTGACACCCTTGATTACCGTCTCCACGTCCGCGGCCGGCGCTCATGGACGGAAACCGTTCCGTCATCGTCGTCCTGGCCGACGGCTCCCTCCGTCTATTTCTCCCCGATGGTACTCCGTCCGGCTGCGATTCGGGCCCCAATGCCGTCATTTCCGACGAAATTTCCGCGCGCCGCGTCCTCGCAGACTTCCCACACCATGTCCTCTCCACTGATCCACCGCATTCCGCGGCGTCAGACCCGGCGGCGCGGCCCTCCCCACCGCTTTCCACAGTATCCCCCGATTCGATCCTCGTTCCGGCCAAGACTTACTATCTTATTGCCGCCGCCGGCGCCGCGGGTGATCATTCCAGCGAGGCGCCTCAAGAATCATGCTTTTCCTCCGAGGCGCTTCGAAACCATGATCGCGACAATGGGTTACTTTCGTCGACTAATCGTCGCCGCGCTGTGGAAGGTTCCGATGATTCGTCGGATTCGCACGCGTTCCGTGCCGCCGCCGCGCTGAGCTGGCAGCTCAGCGACGACAACACGATCGCCGCCAAGTCAACTCAAGTCAACGACTTCAAACCGCCGCTGCGCGGCGGCTCGCCGTTCGTGCCATCACCCGTCGAAGCGTCACGCCGCGAAAGAGAGTGCGGAATCAGACCTTTCGCCGTGGGTGACGGTGGTAACTCGCGAACGGCTGAACTCGTCGCGGCTTGGCTCGACGCTGACTCGGAATCGGACACGTCACGTGCTGACGTCGGAATTGAGCGGATTTTAGGGGCGGAGCCGTCTCAGAAGAGAAACCATACGGGCTTCGAATGTTCCGCGAACCGAGTCGCGGAATGGACTCGGATGTTGGAAATGCCGCCTCGAGCCACACTCCTTCGCAGCTATAGTAGCACCATGCTCGGTGTTACTGCTGCTGGTGCGGCTGCCGGTGGTGGTTCTGCTGCTGCTGCTGCTGCTGCTGCTGGTGTTGCAGAGTGGAGCTTCTATGAGAGGGCCCAGCGATCCACTCAACTGTTGGAAGTGCCACCTCCAACCGCGCTCCACCGCACCCGTAGTAGCATGACCATCGGTGCTGCTGATGCTACCGTTGTTGGTGCTGCCGGTGGTGTTGCTCCTGTTGACTGGAGTAGCAGCAGCAGTAGTCTTTATGCACATCAGAAATCGACTCAGATGATGGTCTGTACAATGCCGCCTCCAACCGCACTCCACCGCACCCGTAATAGCATGACGATCGGTTCTGCCGGTGGTGGCGTTGCTGCTGTTGACTGGAGTAGTCTTTATGCACCTCAGAAATCGACTCAGATCGAGATGCCGTTTCAAGGGGCGAATCGGATTTATCGCCGCCATACAACCGGTACGGCTGCTGCTGTCGCTGATACCGTCGACACGCGTCTTGAGCTTGCACGTATGAACCGTGTCGAGTGCAGTATCCCGAACAAGGGCGGATTGAGGAGTCGTAGCGAGCGCTACAGCCCCTGGAGCGGCTGTAGCAACAGTGGTGGCACTTGCGGAAAGAACCAAGGGGGTAACGAAACCAGCTACAGCCCCTGGAATGGCTGTAGCAACAGTGACGGCACTTGCGGCAGGAACCAAGGGGGAAACCAAACCAGCTACAGCCCCTGGAGTGGCTGTAGCAACAGTGGCGGCACTTGCGGGGGAAACGAAGCCAGCTACAGCCCCTGGAGCGACTGTAGCATTGGCAAGGGCGGCTGTAGCAACGGGTCGAACCACAGACGGGACGGCAGCAGCAGCCACAGCCCTTGGGGCGACTATAGCAGCAGCAGTAGCATCATCATCAGCAGCAGCAATGGTACCAGTGGTAGAAGCAGCAGCAGTAGCAACGGAACCAGTGGCATAGGCCAGGGCCGAATCAGCGGCAGCAGCTACAGCAGCAGTGCGACAGAGCAGGAATGGGGGAGTGACACCAACGGCTGTAGCAGCGGCCACTACAGCCTTCGGGTGGACGAGAATACAGTCTGGCCTCCGCAGGAAGCCTGCTGCTCTCCCCTGCCGCTGCTACAGACGCGCTTGGATGTAGCTGGTGCTGCTACATCCATGGAGGATTCCACGTGGCAAGAAGACAGCGCCTTGAGTGTCGAGGTGAGGATCTATCGGTGAAGTGCGTATGAAAATCTTTCTATCCTCTGAGGCTCCCGCATGCCTCTCGTTATGAGTCCCTGTTTATATTTGAGGGGCATACAAATTGAAATGAACTCCTCTGTACCCATCTTCACCTTGCAGATGGCCGTTCTCTGCTACTCCTCCAACCCTCGCAGAGCATCCCTAGAAACCCGGGCATCTGCAACATCTACAGTGTCTGCGATATCTACAGTACGTCCGCTTTCTTCAGTGTCTGAGATATCTGCCGAATCTGCGGAATCTGCACCACCGTCCTCTTTACAAGCAGACTCGTTTACTGCAGAACCACAGCAGTCCCGACCTCGGCTTATCAAGAAGCAGCATTCCGACACTTATCTGCCGCCTTCCCTTTATGGATCCAGTACCGCTGCTACTGCTGCTGGCACATGTGCCAAATATGGGAAAATTGCCAAAAATGGAAAGACTGCCAAAAGTGGCAGTTGCACCTCTAGGGTCATTCCTGCCAGCAGTTACACATCCATCACCAGTGCCAGCGAATGTGCCACTGATGGTGGTGGTGGTGGTGGTGGTGCTGCTGCTGCTACTGCTGCCACTGGAAATGCTTCGGTAGCAAGTGGGAAGGACGCAGCAGCACAGAAGCATGGGATGGGATTCAGGAGAAGCATGTCAGGAGGGGTTGGTCGACTCAACCAGTGGTTTCTGGGTGGACGCAACCTTGCCTGTGCTGCTGCCACTGCTGCTGCTGCTGAAACCTGCTGAGTGGGTCTCAGCAGCACAGAAGCATGGTATGGGATTAAGGAGGAGCGTATCAGGAGGGTTTGGTCGACTGAACCAGTGGTTTCTAGGCGGACGCTCTCTCACCATGGCTGCTGGCGCTGCTGCTGCCGAAACCTGCTGAGTGCTGCTGAGGGCACAGCAGCACAGAAGCATGTTATGGGATTCAGGAGGAGCGTATCAGGGGGGGTCGGTCGGCTCAACCAGTGGCTTCTGAGCGGACGCTCTCTTACCATGACTGCTGGCGCTGCTGCTGCTGCTGAAATCTGCT